CGTTCCTCCGCGATACCCACAGTCCACAAAGAGCCAACAGTCAATAAAGCATAATCCATACACTCACATAGTGACGAACGCGGCCCCTTAAGGATGAGCCTAGACTTCAGCGGTTGCCTAACGCCACTATAAAAAAAATCTATTAGAACACAGTCCGGTAGATCAGAGTGATAGGAAATGTCCAGATATTCTTGAATGTACGCCTCGAGCGAGTGTGTGCCCTGCTTGAGGGCTAACAACAGCCTTGCAGTGTCCATACCTGGCCAATGTCCACTTGAAAAGCCGCTGGATCCTTGTGAGGCCGAGTATTCTGTTACGGGGCTGACGAGACGTGAGACGTGTGGATCCATATGCAAAGCTTTTATTGAGGAGAAGACAGAGATGTGGTCATAAAACAGGCATGGGTCAGATAATGGCAGACAGGTATATGGCGGGCAAGACACAAGAATAATCCTAGGGCTAGCGAAGGTCAACAAACGGCGAACAGAATAAAAAAAGGGCGAGACTAAAGGGATAAATCCAGGAAACCAGGCAAGGATCAGAAACCGAGAAAACGGCTTAGGCTAAGGATAAGGATAACGAGGGCTCTGTAGTGTAGCTATCAAAAGATAGGTGCTAAACAATACTCGGCAGAGGGAAGGGATCAGAGTGAGTGTTAAATAGTGAGGGAGTGATATGAAACAGCTGGGTGCAATCAGTGTTAACAGCTGTGTGCAATCCGTGCTGAGTGCAATCAGTGCAATGAATGATGGGATATGTAGTCCGGGGTGATGTGCAACAGTGTGTAGTGCGAGAGTCAATGAAATTGGAAAGGGTGACCACTGATGGCTAGCAGATGGAAGTTCATGGACTGGATTCATGACAACAACAAGGTATGGACTTTTTTTTTTTAATGGAGGAAGCGTTATTATGGACTCATATTTTGGCCACAAGCAATGGTTTAAAGTTAAAATGCTTTAATGATGTATTTGTTTCTTACAAACAAACAGCTTTTGGCTTCCCAAGATGTTAAGTGATGGACTGGAGTGGTGTGGATTATTGTGATGTTTTATCAGCTGTTTGGACTCTCATTCTGATGGCACCCATTCACTGCAGAGCATCCATTGGTGATTAAAAAAAAAAAGAATCTTGAATGGCCTGAGGGTGCGTATATTTTAAGCAAATGTTCATTTTTGGATTAACTATTCCTTTGAGGAGAACTGGCACAGTAATCCACTAAAAATCTGCGGACACTTGATGTCTAATGCAATGACATTTAAATGAGGTTTAAGTGTCCAAATACCTTTCAAGGTCAGTGAGCTTTCTAACACGTTTTAATAAATAAATGAGTGCTCATGCACCTGTGGGAGCAGCTGTATGCTGTCTGCTTCTCTTGATGTCCAAGAAAATCGTGTAGGAATCATAAGCAAACAAGATCCCAGCCAGCAGACCAAACACCTGAGAGAGAAGATGAGCATTATTATAAAGAGATATTATGGATATCCGAGGAGGATAAAAAGCACTATCAAATCCGATTTGATCTTGAAGGAATAAGCATGGCATGTGTTGATGCTGAAGTTGGATGTCTCACCACACCAGCGATGCGAGCCCCGTCTCCAGCCCCGCTGATCACACAGATCAGAGAGGTTATGAGATAAAGAGATGCACCGACTACAGCGCGGATGAGATCCTGAAGAGACAGACAGAGAAACTGTAAGCAGCGTTCGCAATGCTAGGCTGGACCACGATGCAAGTGTGTGAGTGAATTCATACTCACGCTCCAGATCCAGTTCACCTCCAGGAACTGTTTGTCCAGCTCCATCATGAAGACAACGAAGAAGATGATGGCAATAACCATCTCGGAGATGGCCAACGGTGAATACCCGCCATACATAGACGCGGCGTAACAGATAAGGATGATGAAACTGAGGATCTACAGAAAACCGACAGACGTGCAGTTTAATATTTTAAACTTGATCACATCAGTGTACAAAAGCATGTAAGGATGTGAATGTGGTTTTGATCGGGGGTCAAGGTTTAGCTGGTTAGCCCTTGCAGATAGATACAATTCTGCAGATAGCCTGTTTCTTTATTGCAGTATTATTATTGTTAAAGTCGCAAATAAAAGGAAGTAGTGACCATGCCTGGATTGGCGGGCAAAACACAAGAATAGTCCCAGGGCTAGCGTAGGTCACCGATAAGCAGACAGAATCACAGGGGCGAGACGAGAGGGAGAAATCCAAGAAAACAGGCAAAGATCAAAAACTGCAAAAACAGGCAAGGCAAGGCAAAACAAGGAAAACACGGAGACTCGGAAAGGGGTACAGGCTAAACAATACTCAGCAGAGAAATGTGGTTAGAGTGGGTGTTATATAGTGAGTGAGGTGATTAGAAACAGCTGTGTGCAATCAGTGCAGTGTGCAAATCGTGCAAAGAATGATGGGATATGTAGTCCGGGGTGCTATGCAACAGTTTGTGTTGTGCGAGAGTCAATGAAAGGGAAAGGGTGACCTCTGGTGGTGAATAAACAGAAGTCCATGGACTGAATTCGTGACAGCTGTTCCTAGGCTGCCTGCACTCATAGCAGCCCCACTCTTTTTATTTATTTTCTTGCAGGCCATATTATTATTTTCACCAGATCATATCAATAACAAATTCTCAATTGATAACTAAAATAGACTGTGATAACTAATCATTATTTTTGCACAAATCGTTGTTTTATTTGTGAACATAGACATTTGAGGAAGGCTTTAAGACCAAGCAGGATTCTCTGTCGGCTGCTCCCGCTTCACCGTCCGCTTTTTTATTTGACAAAATCAGTTTTTGATCATGAGCCCAACTTGAAACGTATTGATCATGAGCCCAACATCCAGCACGGCAGGAAAACATTTAATCTACCTGAGAGAAGACGTCTTTCATTGTAAGTTAATGCTGTTAAATAGAGAGGGGGAAAAATGCATTACAAAATAGATGAATACTTCTTGCTTAGGCTATTCTTAAACTTGGACCTCAATATTGAAGTAAAAATCCAAGCACCAGAAGCAGCCCACACTCTCTTAAGTTTTCTTTAATTGAAAAATATGCATTTTCATTCATTCAAAGGCTATAGTTGCAATAATATTTCAGATCAAAACTTTAAGTGCCATTGTTTAAAAACAAATGCTTGATTGACTGACGTTTCAATGCCATTTGTAATTTTACAATATTTTCACCTCCTCAATTATACGTGTGAAGTCACAATTCTATAATGGTACAATTTACTCAGGCCGATTACATTTTTTGTATTTAAAATTCTTTTTAGAATAATTGTACATAAATAGGTTAAGGAAAATAATTGATTATTTCTGAGAACTTTTTAACTGCAGGCAGACTTAGGCCTACATTATGGTACAGTAGGCTAGCCTACAAATATTTGGAACGTCCCTTATTCTGTCCCTTATGTTCTTAAAGAATAAACACTATTTTCTTAAATAAGATAAAGAATCACAATTGTCCCTTATTTTCCATTTCCTATGTTAATTGGCAATGATGACGTAATTATCTTTTGACTCCCCTCACAGCGGCAGCTTGCTCAAAAAAAAAAAGCCATTGTTGTAGATAGGCGAGCAAAAAATAATAGATAAAAAAATTCATAACATAAAGCGCAGAGGTGGCACTGAAAAGGTCAGTAAAAAAAACCAAACAAACAAAAAAACAAAGTGGGCCGGTCTAAGGCATGAAACTCCAGGGCTGAAAATGAGTCCCACTCCGGCCCTGGTAGTGACCGATACTGGTATACACTTTCTCACTATTAACTAGTTGCTTATTAGCATGCATATTACAAGCATATTGGCTGTTTATTAGTACTTATAAAGCACACATTAATGCCTTATTCTGCATGACCATATTTTAGATCCCTTAACTCTACCCAATACCTAAACTTAGCAACTCACTAACTATTAATATGCAGCAAATTAGGATTTTTTTAAAGCAAAGTCACAGTGAATAGTTAGTTAGTGACCCAGATCTTTTTCTGTATTTGTATCTTCTGTCGATTTTGGAGGGATGAGTTTAAGATGATTTATTGGAGAAGTTTGCCATTTTCAGCGGAAGATCATTTTAAACATTACAAGGGAAAAAAAACAAGTTGAAACATACATGGATGCACTGTTCATAATAACATCTATAACATGCATATACAAAATAGATACATACTTCTGCAATTTCATGCTAACAAAAACTAAATGGCAAAATTTTTCATTAACTGAAAGAACCAACTGTGAAAAACTGAAACTAAAGTACATCTTACAACTAAATTAAAATGACGAGATACCAAAATGTATTGGAAAAAAAAAAAACAAAACAAAACAAAAAAAAAATACTTTTTAATTAAACCAATTAACTTTGGCAGCCCTACAATACTAAAACAAATATACAGGAGACTGAAACTAGAAAACGCTGAAATAACTCAACTAAAACTAACGTCTCAGGTTACTAATGTAACCATGGTTCCCTGAGGTTACTAATGTAACCATGGCAAGACACTGCGTCCTCTAGGAGTCGCTATGGGGAATGCCTCGTCGTGACCCGTGTCTGAAGCATATATTGAAAAAACACCAACAACACCTTGGCCGGCGACAGCCATGACGTCACTACCGGCGCGACTATAGTATAAATAGGCGCCGGGAGAACACATCATCCACTTCTTCGTCTGAAGCTTGCGTCCGCAGTATGGCAAGAAACCTAGAGGACGCAGTGTCTCGTTCCCTACTCAGGGAATCATGGTTACATAAGTAACCTGAGATGTTCCCTTTCATGGGAACTTCGAACTGCGTCCTCTAGGGGTCGCTATGGGGAACAGTATACCCACGCTGCCATGCTGAGGGAAGTGCATGCCAGAAACCATGGCGAGCACTAAGTACCAACTCTACCATATTGCCATGGGAGTTGCCCCTGGGACGTTAGACGGCTGTCAGTTACATTATTCCCTATGGCCAAAGGCCTAGGCTACATACCCCAAAAACTTACCTGTTAGGGCCAGAATTCCTGGGCCCGGGGTAGAGCTCAAGGCTTGGATTTAGGATAGATTCCTTTAAGGGAATACGACCAAGAGCCTAGAATCATCCTAGTCTTGGCCTGTCACACAGGGGCTACCACACGTTTCTCTTTGTATGTGCTGAATGAACTGTCTCAACAGACCCCTAGCAGCAACACTCTGTTAAAGTAGCTATCCAGAGGATACATAGGTGGAGTGGTGCCCAAGGCAGAAACCGGGGTTTTAAACCACTCAGAAAGAGCACACGGTTGTAGAATCAGAAGGGTAAGCATACTGCAAGCTAGCCAAACACTCAGGGCATCAGGAAGGTAGAGGAAGGGCCTAAATCGCCTGATGTTGCTGGTTCCAGGTGCTCTGGAAAAACAGAGAACTCAACTTCTCATGTGAGAGGAGAACTCCGAATTCAGAGGAATAACGTGCTCATTCCAGGTAACCCTTTGATAAAAGGGGACCACTGCTCAACACTACCATGAGGACAGCCCATGGAGCGAGGAATCCAACTCCTCAGAGAGAATTTAAACGCTCGAAAGCAAGCACCATGCTCACAATAACCCTCAATGGTGAGGGGAGCGATGCTTCCAGAGTGTGTCGACAGAGACACTCTAGATGAGTGGAGCCCAAGGTACCGGGGTCTAAACCAACTCAGAGAAAGGGAACGAGGTCAATAACGCGTAACCCTTACCATACAGGATTTCAGAAAAGTGGGCAAAGCATAACGTGCACACTTACCA